GCGCAGATATCTATTTTATTATCAATGTTTTTGATTATTAAATTTAATAAATCATATATTGCTCTATTAATCGTTTTATTTTTCCTGAATCCCTTCTGTTCATCCACTAGTAGATTAAATTTTTCGAGATAATTACTCAGGTATTTATGTATAATCTTTTCAAAAATCTTCGAAATAACTGGTGTAAGGGCAATGGGTCTATAACTGCTTATATTATCATCTTTCGAACCCTTTTTATATACATTTATATAAATTATTTTTTATATATATTACACATTATATGTATATTTCACTTAGATTTCATATCATGCAATCGTTAAAAAGCCTCCCATAGGATCAGGTTGTGCTCAATGAAATATTTAATAAGATTTATAAAAACTTTATCTATAAGAGAAAGAGAGGGAGAAAATACGAGGAGCTGTAATTTTTAGGATTCCATACCCAAAGACTCCGCTGTCTGTACGTCTGTCACCAGGCTCATGAACCGTTATAGTTTGACAGTTAAAATTTTCACCGATGATGTATTTCTGTTGCCGCTATAACAACGAATACTAATAAACGATACAATTTTTATGTGGGTCTTCGATACAACAGATATGATTTTTTTTTGTTGTTTTCATAGATAATGATACGGTACCCTTCGTGCGCAAATCCGACTCGTACTTAGCCGGTTTCTTATCCTTGGAGAGTTTTAACGTTTTGTTTTTTATTATAGAGAAAATCAATAAATTTTTCAATGCATTATATATTTAAACAGGCTGAAATGATGATGATGATTATATATTTGAATAACTAAATTTTTACATAATTAAAATCTAGCCTATTTGCTCATAAAGGTATTACCATTTAATACTTTAAAAGAATAATGTTAAATTTCTTTTTCCTCGGGAATTGATCATGTCAAGATTGACTTTTGATAGTTTTAAAATATTAAGTAGTGTAGATCGGTAGCCCATTTTGCCCATTTAAAATTAATATAAGTCCAACATACAAAATGCTTAAATGCTAATGGCTGCTTAGTAAAAAGGGAAACAAGGGAACATTCGAGATGTTTCGTTATCTTTAACGATTAAATGCCATTACCGTTTTAATTTTACTGCTAGGTCCGTTAGTTTAGGCTGTTTTTCAGGGGTATGACCACTTATTAATTAATAAAATTTATTTATTTATCCTTCTTAAAGTCGAAAAGTACTTTAGAAACACATGCTATAATATTTAAATATGAAATAAAATAATTATATCTTCTTGATGATCTTATTAATTACTTGATTAGCTATTTAAAGTTACAAACTGCGTATAATAATTATGTCTGTTTTATCTCATTGATTTTATTCCATCTGTACTATATTATGATTATTTTAGGTTGTGTAAAGTGTTCCTTTAACCCTCCGATAGGGTTCCCGCCTTTACGTGGCCGAGGGGCCGGGCTTGATCACCCACGGTGAATTGAAGAGGATTGGGGTCCTCTTGGCTTCATCTGGGCTGGGCTGTGGTGTAACGTCAGTCCGAGACAGCTGCTACGCCTAATGCGTGCTGGGAGGGTGTGGGACACAGGTTGAAGGAGGTATAGGAGGAGCCACTATCCTTGTCTACTGCAACCGAAGTGGAGTCACGGAGGAAGAGGATTGTCGGTATTGTGTTGGGCCGCTCTCCCTATCCTCCGCGGCCGAAAGGTTGAGAGCGATGGGTCCACAAACCAGGTTCGGCACTGAGGGCCACGAGCCTTGCTGCTTATTAGCAAGTAGCCAGTGGGGCTCTACTTGCTCCCATGGCCGCTGGTCAGCGAATTTGGCTCCCCCAAATTGGCCGTTAAAAAGGAAGGGGCTAAGTAAGAAGGAACGTTGAAATTCCAGACGTCCCTTACCTGGAGAAAAGGCAAGTTTCTTCCTGAGAAGGGCTGCTGAGGCGGCCAGCGCTGGCAGAATCGCTGAAGTGTGCGAAAGCCTGTGGTCCTGTCGATATGTGCTCTAGGTGTAATATCGTGTTGGTTTTTGTCGGTTTAGCCAGCGAGTCAAGCATAACCCGTCCTGACCCCCCCCCCCCCCCCCCCCTCGCGAGTGCGTATATCGGCATAATCGGCTATGTATTTCCCCCTGCGAAGGCTGGTTTGCGTAGGCATTTCACGCACGTAAATTATAAAAAAATACATTGCCGTGGTAACTCAGTTTTCCGTTTTTAATTATTACAAAGGGAGATCAAATAAAAATGTTCTCATAGTGTGAGGATACCTGCATGTCTCAAAATATCAAAGATAATATGTATGCCAATCCTGAGTTGCTGAATGGCGAGATATGCCCTAATACTCTCTACATGAAGCATCTACACACCCATTTAGTTTGTGGTTCAGAACAATGTTTTGATAAATTTAGCCGGTGTAGTAATAGTAACATCAGCAAGCTAAAAAAAACAATTTTATATTTAATCAGCACATATAAACAAAAAACCTAACGATGGAGTAATAAAGAGTTGTTCAGTGTTATTATTTTGGGACGTGGCAGAATTATCTTATCTTGGTTTGACACACTCTCAACATTGAATCTGATGATAATGATCGTAACGCCGCAATTAGAGGCTTCAATTAGCTTGGTTTCTTTGTCGTCTCTCATGAATAAATCTTAAATACTGAACTGGACAAATAAACAAACTTAATGCTAGTTACGTATCAAATAAGGGCATTTGTTGGCAGTACGATAACGATAATTTATCAATTTTCAGACACCTATAATAAGGATTGTAAATTGGTATACACTTGTTTCCCAAGTTCTGTCGTGTGCAACCAATAGGTTTTGAGAATGTTAATCAATGTGTCCTTAAATAAATAATTCGGTCAGGAAATTATTTCAACCGTATTTTCCACTCATGACACCTCATGCTCATTACTCCCAACTTACAAAACACGACAAAAAATGTGCTGTTTAACCCGACGTAACGTCCTACAGTATTATGAACTATCGTTTTTCAACAAATGTTTAAAGGAGAGCCTTTCTACCGTTTCAAAACTCCTCCTGTGTGAATTTCATTGAGTAGGTCATCAGGTGAACCCCATACTTGATGTACAGCATTAACATATTGAAACAAAAAGCAGCCAAGACTTATTCAGTCGTCCGGCAACTGAAAAAGCAAATTTAATATCAAAAGCAAAAAAGACAATAGACTATAGAATGAATTAGTTTTCAAACGATTTCAAAAAAGAAGGAGGTTCTCAATTCGACTATATTTTTTTTTATTTTTGTTAGAACAGAACTTTCAACTCATTGAACCGATTTTGATGATTCTTTTTTTATTGGAAAGCTGGTGCTTCCCGTGTGGTCCTATATTCATTTCATTGGTATTGGATCTTAGGATCCTGCGATATGTAGGGTACTCCTAAAAATCAATTATAAAATGAATACAGAGCGAGATATTTGAAGTCGGTTTTGTTTTTCGTTATTAGAAAAAATGACTTGTTAACGTTTTTAATATTTTTAATACTATTATCTCTATTTTAGTATTGGATGAATTTTATGAAGTGATAAAAATATTACTGTTTTTGGAATAGTCGTAATGAACTTTACAAATTCAACGATTATCTCATCAACCTTTTATTGTCCACAGCATATAACAAGTATAAATTAGGGTATAAAATTGTAGTAATATTTGTTTTAGTACAAAACTGAAATTTAAGAAGATTTTATAATACAAAAATATCATTAAAGACAAATGTAACAACAAAATGTATGTAGCTCATTATTTAATACCATGAGTAACAAGACGAAAATTTAAGGACGACATTAATTGAAACTTGTGAACAATATTTGCTTGTTTGGATTTAGCTTTGAACTTTGGTAGGCTTTATCATTTATAAAGTTTGTAATTAGGATTGTTTTGATATTTGATTATTTAGTAATTTACCTGCTAAACCGCAATTTCAATAAAAGAGAAAGGTGAAAGCGGTATTTGAGGTATGTAAATATGTAGTATGTGTTATGTTTACATACACATTATATATACATACCATATATATGTGCATGTAAACATAGCGTATCGATTCGTATCAAACCTTAACTATGGCAAATCCATTTCAATGTTTTATTTATGAATTGTCTGAATACTATCAAATTGAGTAGATTTTTAAACGCTGCTAGACGGCATGCAGTTGCGATGAAAAATTTCTCCGAGACGACTAATTCCAGTTAAAAAAGGCCACCGTCGCTTAAATAATCATGGGACTGGTTTTCAAATCGTTAATATATTCTGTGTGGTGCTCTTGGTGGTGTGGAGCATCTTCATAATGTATCATTCCTTCATTCTTTAGAAAGTGAATTAGTGAGACCACGTGCGTACAGTTTACGGATTGTCTCAGTGTAATTATATTTGCATAAACGTTATGTTCTTTTCATTTGCAAGCATTTAAGTATTTTATTTTTCATGTATTCAAACAATGTAACTTTTTTTGAGTTCCTCTGTCAGTAAAAAGTTTGTGCATAATTTGGATGCTAATTTAAAGTTACTGATGCAGGTGAGCGACTAGGAAAGTTATGCTTCAAACGAAAGGCTGCGTTCCATTTGCTCCATTAATTGTTTTAAAATGTATATTATTTTCTCATTACAACGTTTTATCGCTATTCTAATATTTGATCATGTAATGAAGTTAAAATTGAGAAATTATTTGTTGTTATAAGTTCGAAAGAAGCTAAAGGATAAAAATTCTTATGATAAAAGAATTTTTATCATAAAAGTTTACTCAATTATATGTATATCGTAAATAAATATACTATAGAATATAATATTACCGAAATCTAATTTAAAAATAATGTCAAACAGCCCGCATAAAATCAACGTACAAAAGTTATTTATTAATGGAAATTAAAAAGTGTTTTCGTACGCTAAACAAATGTAGGACTGTAATCTCTGCGGGTCAAGGAGGATGCACAGTACAATTCGTAAGGACACCCTGATAGCAGCCCCATATAAATACATAAGGAGCCGAAAGTAATGATGGTTTGTGAAAATATCGCAAAATGAACGCGTGTGTGCTGATACTCTCGGTGCTGTTTGTTGTTTTTGGTGAGTGTAAGTTTAACTTACGGTATATGTTAAAGTAAACAAAGACGAATGCGTTGTATACACAGCACGATTATCCTTGTTTGAATTTATTTGTGTGTCTTCTTAATTATGATTACGATTAATTAAAAATGGTTTTTTATATCGGTAACGCGGTAATTCATCGAAGCTTAAGCGGCAACGAGAAATACTTGGTAAAGCGTCTGAAGAATTTAAGAGGAAAACGAAAAATAATTAACATTCCAAATTTGCTATAAGCAATTTCCCATCGAATTTTCTTTAGGTATAGATTGAAAATAATGATTAGAAAATTTTCTGAGATATCATAAAAATGTTTTATTTAAATTTATGCTAAATTTATTTATTTTTATCTTCACAAGAGTAAAATGTAGCCTTATTAAGTTTTTATATCGAAAAGTTTTTGAAGCTTTTAATATAATAAATTATAATTGCCCAGTTTTATGCGGTTAAATAATACATACGTTAAATACCTAATACATACGTCAAATGAACAGGGCCTGTGTATTTTAATGAACATAATAATTATGATTCATATGTAAAAATAATTGAAGCGAAATGTAACCACGCCCTAGGAATTTATTTCGAAATGGTCGTTCTTTAAAATTCCCGTTATGTGAACCACATCCAATTGTTACCGTCTGACCGGGCGAGTTAATTTCGCTTAATTCCATCGGAAAAGATCGTTGTTTATTCTGAACTTTCTCTGGTATTCGTAACTTTTTGCACTTTAGGAATGGCGACCCGCTTAACTTGTTTCATTAACATAACATGGAGCGGAAATAGCTGAAACTTATTAATATTCAGCGGCTGCGTTTTGCCCATAGACGCCGCGGCCCTCCCGTCATGTAAATATGACAGGAAACAAATACAAAATAATTCAGTATTAAAAATTATTCAATAAGGAATAATTTAATAATTTCCGTGATTTATTGTAGTATGCAGTGTACTATATAAATTATGGTCGTGAATCGTGAATGTATTGTATTGGCAAAAAGAAACAACTGACTCTTTGTTTACGCCTAGTGCTAAAACATTTTTAATACCTTCCCATTACTAAAAACAACGTCAGATTATGTTAGATTATAGCTGTTGGAATTGTAATATTTTTTATTGTCTTAGTAGGTACTGGTCTGAAGGTCGAATACTAAAACAAGGCGGTGAAATAATGTCCAAAATTCATCTCATGGATAGATCCAAACCTAATATTTTCATCCAAGGACAACGGGTACATTTTTGCTTGAATTCTTTTCAAATAAAGATGTAATAAAATTCGTTTCATAATTTACCGACTTCGCTGCTAAAGTTATTTGAAAAATATATAATCTATTGAGGCATAAGTTATACTTTTAACATTATTTTTATTAGATATTCAGATCATCGACTTCGTTCCATCATCTTTATTGAATAATTTTAGCATTTGATGTCCAATTCACTTATTTTGATTCAAACATCAAGAAAAATAAATAATGTCGGCTTGAATCAATAATCGAAGCGAACTGTATTATTTCTCAGTATTTCGGCGTCATTTACCTAATTAATGAAACAGTAATAAACTAACAAAATTCCACCATACCGCGTTTGATGGGCTATAAGTATGCGAAAGCTTGCTCATATGTAATTACTGTATCAGTCGACTTATTTTTTGCTTCCCTGTATTTGTCAAATTCTTTAGAATACGAACGTACGTCAATGAACATGCACTGAGGTACAGTTTGTTAGTTACAGTAGTCAGTTATGTTATAATATTATCACCAATATTGATGCTTAGAACAAACAAAAGTGCAAAAAATAATGTTTTCTTTTAACGACCCGAATGGCGTAGTGGGTAGTGGACCTGCCTCCTGCGCCAAAGGGTGTGTTGTGTCGATCCACACTACTGGAAAATACTGTGTGATGAACAGTGTTTTAATAGTGTCTTGGTGTATATATATATATATATCTATAATATGTACTTATTTACAAAAGAAAAGTACGTTTAAGTATGTTTATCAGTTATCTTGTACCCATAGTACAAGAATTTAAAATATTTAAAAAATATTTCAATATTTTCCTAATAGATTTTCACTAATATATTTATATGAGTTAACTCTTATTTTAACGTAATTTATTAAGGTAACTAAAATAATAGTAACGTAAACTACGTTACTATTATTTTAGTTTAGATATATATAGATTATATATTACGAATTTTACGAACGTATACGAAATTAAGCTATATTTCTGTATAACAGGAATGTATTAATATAAAATCATAAAATCTTACAGTCGAAAAACCAGACAGTCGCCAACTTTAATAAAAGGTAAAAATAGAATAAAACGTTTGAATAATGTACCTGACTGAGTTGAGAAATTTCGCGACGAATCTCCATTCCTCTTCTCATAAAAAGAAACCTTTTGTATGATGAAGCGAACGTAACGAAACGTAAATAGGTCGTGCGTTATTTAAAATTTAAAAACAAATTTCTCTCGAAAAACAGACGCGTTGGTGCACTTGTATGTTGGCCCAGATACCTCCGCATAACGGTGTTGGACTGATATCGATAATTATCTACAAGTTCGAGCTTCTGTTTCATTTTATTTACCTCAGTTTTTGCCATTCCCTATATAGCATGTATACTACGTGATAAGTTATATTATAATGTACTTTATTACAGTCAGCTGTCAAGATGAAAAGATGGAGGCAAAATTGCGATTCTACTACGGGTATTTTTGTTTAATTTATTTAAACTTAGAGAATGTATAAGAAGTATGACTTCACAATTATTATGAATACAAATAAAATGTTTTAGATCTATGGAGAACTATACGGAATTCTATATTCATGAAGCCCAACGGATATTTTCTGAAACATGGTACAATTCCAGCAGAGATACTGTTATATTTTCACATGGATATACTGGTAACTGTCACTCATTTAATTTATAATATAAGAATTTTGTATACGTACACATTTTTTCGAGCTTATCCTAAGCTATTTAGCCCAGTCAGTACAAATGAAAAAGTCGATGGATGCAGGTGGCTCAGGATCATATTGCTTGACAGTCTGTGATTAAATGATGATGATGATGATAATGTAAGGAAAAAGGAAACAGATAACGTAGAAAATTAAACTATTTATTAAAAAATTAAAAAAATGCTACACACTTTAAATTTCCTATACCTAACTCTGATGCGAGAGTTAGGTATAGGAAATTTAAAGTATGTAGCATATAAATATATATTATTCTTTTTTTCAAAGAATTTTCAAATTAGTTTTAATTTATCCTAAACATAGACGCAATTCAGATGCATATTTATATTCCAAGTAAAATTTACTTTAAAATTGGACGTTCCGAACGTAATTTTTAATAGCGAATCAAATTTTCACCAAAACGACCTCAATTTCACTAAGAACTGATTTACGAAACGTGTTTCGGCTAATGTTAAGCAATTAGTTCTTTGGGAACTCCAATATTGTAGCGTCGAAATAAATCAAACTTTGCGTATTTCAGGCCATCCCAACGGGCCCGCCGTGACGGCGGTAGTGACGGCGTACATTCAAGACGGAAACAGCAACGTTGCCCTTTTGAATTGGCAGGACTTGGCCTCGATGGCTCTACCAGGCTTCGCTTCCTCTTACGTGAACTGGGCCGCGCCTAATGCTCGCAAGGTGAACGACATATTTACAAAGCGCGCTCGCCTTATTTCCACTTTGCTACACAACAATTGACGGCCAAGAAATGGATAAAGCGCAAAAGTCTCAGTGAAACAACGTTCGCCTTTTGGGTAATGTAACCGCTATTAATGATATGTCGATGATCACATTTCGTACATAATGTACATGGAAATTTAAAAAAAAATATAAAATGTTAATAAACTTTGCGAGCATTTTCATCCCGCTGTCGAAGGATGCTAAAGTTTTTAAAGCGTATTTATGTGTCTATTTCAAATTATTTGACATGATAACGATCAACCGTCTTACTTTCTTACTTTGTATTTTTTTGTTTCATATATGTGTTTCTTTTCTTCCAGCTCGGCTTCCGATTTGCTGATACACTGATGAACTTGTCTGCAGCCGGATTAGATTTGAGTAGGACTCATTTAGTTGGACATTCACTTGCGGCTCACATCTTCGGTATTGCTGGCAATACCATGTCTGTGAAAGGAATTCAACCCTCCTGGTAATACCCCTTATTTTTGTCGTATAATGACAGTAAATCATTGTTCATTACGTTGCAAAAGGGTTAAAATATGTCTTTCATTGCTTAAAAATATTGAAATTTTTGAAAACCCCACCGAACGTTATAGCAAATATTGGACATTTTAATGATAAACAAAAACATTTTTTTTTTTGTAAAACCTAAAGATATCAATGCTAGTTTACGTTGTTTAGTTCTGGATTTTAAATTTAAAAGGCGTTACTTAATACTTTGAAAAAAATTCTTAGATGAAGGACTTGATTATCTTCTGGTCTTTATTATCTACCAGTATTAATCCTAGAATCTTTATTGACCTGACTTACAACATTGCTACAACGATTATCCTTTCGCATGCCGTCACGTCATCTACGCGGCATAAAATAATTTCATATTCCCATAACAAAAACAAAACAAGATAATTGTTCTTCGGTACTTCTTAGGTGTATGATACACATAAATATCTAGACCATACCATAAAATAATGTCAATTGTTGCAACTTCTTAAATGGCTAAATATCTTGTAAAAAATTGACATATGATATGGGTGATGATGATGCTGTGAATTTTTCGAATAAAAAAAATTAATAATTAAAAAAATATGTGCTCACTTATGTACACACGTAAGAAGTTATACCTCTTTAGCGTAAATATATTCAATGCAGTTGATAACAGTTTATTTAAATAATTTGAAAGTATTTGTAAATATTTATACCTAATTGTTAAAGTAATAAAGTTTAACTAAAACAACTTATTCCCGTCGGATAATCCCTATTTATCAAGATATAGGTTAAATAGGTTTTATGGCCGTCATAGCTCTTATTAACAAATCGCAAACAATTGATTTCGTAAAAAGCGCGCAATGAAACGTCCGGAAAAGAAGTATTGTACATTTTATCTTAATTAAATTAATTAAGTCTATACTTATTTAATCAGATGTATATATGATAATTATCAGATATACATCTGATTAAATAAGAGATTGATAAGTATCACTCGTATATAATGCATTATTAGTTTTCAAGACTTTTTCCTTGTTTAATGACCTAACTAAATTTAATCTATGTCACTAAAACTTTATACATTTTTGTATTAAGCTTATTGCAAAGTATAGCAATACTTTGCAATAAGCTTAATAAGCTTAATAATGCAATAAGCATAATGATAATGAACAAAAAATTATTTAAAAACTTATATTACAACATAAAAATGTCTCGATTCTATGGTTATTATACAGCGTGTCTTTACCACCGCGACAATAAATGAACACAGGTCTAACGCTACTTGCCAATAATCATAAAAAATATTAACGTTAAAAAAATCCATAATTAAAAAAATATTTTTCAAACAAACTAATTAAGAAAAAAAGAAACTAAATTTGTAACATCCTATACAACTACAACTGACTGATTCATACATTCAGAGACTTTTTCATTCGTTGCAACAGTGCCGCATTACAAGCCTCTCCTTCTAACAGTATGTTTTGTCTCTTTTAAATTCATTCAACCCATTCATATGCTTTCTGACCTTTACAAATAAACTTTACATTAAAGTTTTATACGTAAGGGTGTTCTAAAATTCTTTGTTTTGGAAAATTTGATAACTCGTTAAATATTGATGTTTAAAGAATGTAAATCTTAATAATAAAATCATAATAAAATTTTAATACAATTTTAAAAAGTTATCCTCTATATGTGTGTTCATTTATTGACGCGATGGTAAAGACACGCCATATATACGCATGAAAGAACTTAACTTCTTTACTCTATTTCTCCTACTATCTTTATCTCTTCTTGTTTATTAATTTTCTGTCTGTTACTTTGAAGCATTACTGGTCTGGATCCTTCAAGGGTTGGTTTTGAGGGCAAACCAATTGGTTCGAGATTGAACGAAAACTCGGCAAAATTTGTTGTCGTGATTCATACGGATTCCGACAAGTATGGAGCTAGAGGGTCCCTAGGAACAGTCGATTTCTGGCCGAATTATCAACCAACGGGACGATTCAGCCAGCCAGGCTGCGATCGTCACCCTGGACCTTCATTTTCAGTGCAAGGTTAGATTTTTTAACTTCCCCAAAATCGGCATTCGTAAGAAGGTTTATGGATATCAAACTATTAAACGACATTAAGAGTAAGTTATTTTACACAGATTTAAAGTTATATCATATACACAGATCGAATATAATATATATATACCTATATATAATCAATCAAATCCTGATCTAGATCTGGGAGACCTCACATAAACATTGTAATATTGGCCTAGAAAACTCACTAAGTTATAAAATATAACTTTTAATATAATTTACCTAAGAACCCTAAGGTTATTTCCGTTTAATCGTAAAACTACTTTGTATTTATTAATATCAGTTTTATGGTCGTAGCGTCTTAGGACTGCTTGTTTAAAATTGACTGCGCTAAAGTTTCAACTGAATTTCTTAGCACGGAATAAATTTGCAAAGAATTAAGTACAGATACCACATCTGAGAGGAGTTAAGAAGTTTAAACCGAAACTTCTAGACTAGATTCAAATTATATCGCAAATGTGCCGCCGCCTGATGATCTTGGGATTGATGTGTTCAATTAAATTGGATACTCAATGATTTTATGGTTTACAAATTCTTATGAACTAGATTGATACATAACCTGTATGCCTTTTAAAATAGTAAGTAGTGTTGGGTATGGGTGAGAATCTATGATTTATGATATTTAGTCTAATATCTAACTGCAAATCAATACATTTTTGTATTATATCGACTACTTAGTAATTAGTAACTCATTATTCATCAAGTTCCTGGGCTAAGTTAATGTATTTCATCAATAAAATTTCTTTTTACTGTTTTTTCTTTACAGACTTGTGCGATCATAACCGAAGTTGGGAATTACTGAAGGACTCTTTTATACATCCCGGAAAGTTAATCGGATCAAATGCCAGAAATTACAGAACATGGAAAAGATATTCACTGAAGCAGAGGAAAGAGGTTACATTGGCAATTGGAAAGTGCAAAATGGATGCGTAAGAAACGATGCTTTTTTTTTACTGACGTACTTAATAGTGAAGATAAAGGACTATTTGATTTTCCTGTAGTTGAAATTTTCACAATTTTCCATCCCATGCTAATATTCGCTATGAAGTAGAGCTCAATCAAAATAAAAAACACATATGCATATGACTAGTGGTATATTTTTGGACGGTTTTAATACAAATTTCTTATGAAATAAGCAGGGCCTTTGTACAAATTATTTCATCTATTTACATCTCTGCAATAACTCTGTGTACATAAATTATAAATAAATAAATAATAAAAATCATTATTCTGATTGATCGTTTGGATATAGAGTCTAGGCACCAACGCTACATGGCCATTAATATAAAATAAGCTTAGTGCAGTCATTATTAATAACCCCAGAAAATTAATGTTAACTTTATTATGCTTTCAGTGTGCCTGGAAACTATTTCTTACTAACTAATGCAGAATCTCCCTATGGGCGAGGAGAAGAAGGTTTATAATGAAGGAAGAAAACACTTGTTTGCCTTTTAAGAACGTTAATTTATTTGTGGTATAAGATATGTTTGATTCTTTGATTTATTTAAGATTACAATAATTATAGAAGTTTGTTAAATACCATAAATTTCTTTTTAATTTACAACTTTTTAATTTGAAAATACGCACAAACTGAAAAAGCACATTAATAACTCCACTAAACAGGAATGATTCGGGATATTCTCCAAAAGATTGTATAGAGTTTTTCATCCAATCATTTGAGCACTTAAAGCTAAATGACGTCGGGGCAGAAAGCCAAATGGATTCTTCATTAATATCTTCTTAGAAAAAACAATTATTGCTCAAAATCCGAACAAAAGATCTGAAATCACTAACTTGTAAAGTGTAGCGTTTTACAGATGTGACTTAGCAAAACAGGACGTCATTGGATTACGACGTAGTGATGAGAACATATTTTATTTACAAATTGCTACAATCTTTGGGGTTTCTTTGTAATTATAATAATATATACAATTTGTTCATTGTAATCAAAATATAAAACTGGCAATAAAATTAACCCAATAATTGTTAGTAATGTTTTTACAGTTAACTATGAGTTTCTGAATTTGTCAATTGTTGACAGCTATTATTACAGATTTAGTTGATATTTCTAGGAATTCAACTTGATTTCGTTTATCGGATTACATGTATATAATTTTTAATAAAGTAAAATTTTTATGTATAAAATAACAGACGTTGTACTACTTTTGGAATGCAATGATAAAATAGTTCCTACAAATACGTTTCACTAAAAGATTTGATTCCTCGTTCAAACTGAAAAATCTTTGTAAACTGTGGGAACGTGTACCTTTCAAAACGTGTAGGTATATGAAACATTTGAAAAAAAAAATCTCCTGGGCAGCGGTGAGCGGTTTACGGACATAACATATCCTAGCTGCGCAAATAAACGGGTGAAAACTAGTCATGGAAATGAGTTCCCAACGCTTTGTGCAAATAGAAAACACTACATGACCGATTCGTATTCAAAGTCCTCAAAAAAAAATGTGACATCAAAAACGTGTAATCAAGTTTCTTAGATTATAAACTACTCCATAATTACCATTAAGAAAAGCCATAATTTTTTTATGTTTCATAAGCCACGAACGATTTAAACGATATTTATTACACTTCTTTTCATATTGGTATTATGGAAACTTTAACTCTGCAGAACACTAGTTGAGACGGTCGTCGATAAACTTAAGCTCTTTTGATAGAGTTTGTACAGTTAAAACGTTGGCGTTTCTTTTATAATGTTACTGAATATGTACTGTGAAAGGAACCCCTGCGACCTGGAATATCTTTTATAGTCTTCCCTTCAAAAACATGGCCCTTCACTGTAGGATAACAATATCCTGTATTGTAAAGACGTTTTAAATACATACATTTCACGTGCCCAATCACCTACATCCGAAACAATTATCTGTGGGTCATACAAACGGTCG